AACAAATTGATCTCTTGCAGATGGATCAGTAAGCCAACTCCTTAAGTGTTCCTTTTTAATATAAATTATTTTTTTTTTATGAATATAAAACCAAATTAAGTAAAAATCAAATTTGGTTAAACAAATTATCAAAGGGAATAAGAAAAAAAAACAAAACCTTTTCCACAAATTTTTCTTCTTCTGGCTCTTTGTATTCTTCTTCGATTTGTGAATATTTTTCAATATCAGTAAAATGATTTAAAGCAAGGTAATGTGTTTTATCCATAGGATATCCATCATACTGTTTAATTGCTAGACTAGCTTGTTCTGGAGTTTCAAATTCAATGAATAAATATCTATTTATATGTTTAAAGATATAAATAAAATAAATGTCAAAATAAAATTTCATTTTTTTGTAAAAATTATTCATTTGAATTAAAAATAATCAACCCTCTTGATTTTAATTTCCCAGTTTCAGGTTCAGGTTCAGGATCCATTGGCATGAAAATGCCATTTTCCTTAATCTCACCAACATTCTTAAAAATCTTTTTTATGAAAGTTAATAATTTAGCTACTCTACTCTGATCAACAACCGGTGCATTATCAACTACTATAATTGTATCAAGCCCTTTTTCAAAAGAAACTTTATACTTCTCTTCTATATCTGTAAAATCGATTTCCTCCTCAGTTTGTGGTAATCCATTAATGTCAAGACTCGGCATGTTAAAAATTTTTTTTTTTTTTTTAAAAAAAAATCTAAATAATTTCCATTTTGGTTTAATTATCACACGTGACTTCAAGAGAAATTATCTCCACACTAAGAGACATTCCGTTGGGGTATGCATAAAGCTCCAAACATTTGGTTCATTTAGGTTTGGTTTCGTTTTACTCTTTGAACCAAACCAAAACTAAATCATTTGGAGCTTTGGTCTAAAAACTACTTGGCATTATAAATTTTTGCATTGCTTATTTAGAATTAAGAATTTATTGATTTCAAACTTATTATAGCAATCAGTGTTGAGTTTCTTCTGGAGGCATAGACTAAATTACTCAAAGGTGTTATATTTTAGAATCTAGGACTATAAGGGTTTGCATGTGTTTAAAAAGTTTGTGGAGACAATGAATTTTATAAAAAATAGATCCTATTTTGAATAAAATTTATCTGAATTATTTTATGTATTCGAGTTACATTGAAAGTTTAACAAATAAAATGAATAATTCAAATAATTCAAATAAAACGAATAAAGCAAATAAAGCGGATAATTCAAATCAATATTAATATCAAGTTGAACTCGCTCAAAACGATTTTCAAGTGTATTTTCCCGAAAATTTTTGATGAAATAGGAAATTTTATGAAGATTATACAAATTATGCATATTCACATGTAAAAACACCAATATTAACGCACAATTAATATGCTTAAATATTTTTTTAAAGTAAAAAATGAATGATCCAATTAACGAACTTCCAACTGTAAATATATTACAATATAACAAATGATCTATAGCATTTCTAATCTCTAATAATAATTATTAACGAATTTATTTACTTAAATAGCTTATAAGTTTATTGGTTGCATCAGATTCTTCATCTCTAATCAATGATCATGATTTAAAAGATTTTTGTTAGTATTATTATTATTAATTATTATTATGATTTTAATTAAATTAATTAATAATAATTTTAGTTATACGAGACACTGAATATCTAAATCCGTTGATTTGGATCGAGAGTAAACCAGATTCTCGAGAGCTAATGTTATCCATATACAAATATTCAAGAGGTAAAAGATATATACACACATTTATAAAAAAAAAATTAGTAGGTTTGCATGACTGAATTAATTATTGTTTATGGGATAGGATTGATTTGGAAGAACAATGGTGTAATATTTCATGAAGTTTGTAAGTAATTAAAAGTTTTTAAATAAAAAGCATATGTATAATGAATGAATAAATTAATAATAGGGTTTGATCCTCGAGAAAAAAATGGGATAGTTAATTATACTTTAAACTTTCAACCAATGTTATTTCCTTATTTAAAAATATCTATAAGGTATTTATTCAAATTAAAAACTTATTATTTTATTATTATGATTATCTAATTAACCATCTTATATATATATATATTTTATTTTTTGGATAGAATATTAACATTGATCAAATTTCAATATGAAGAAAATAGTATTCTTAAAAATGGTAAACGTGGTAAATGGTTGATATCACGTTTGGAAGATTGTATTACAAATGAGGATTTGATGAATGCTTTTATACCTTATTCAAAACCATTCTTGAATTATTTTAAATCTATTGGTGGGTTAGTATTTGTTGGTGTTGGAAAGATTATGGAGGTAACCAACTATTATCTTAATCGTGACGGTTATGGTCACAATTATTATAAAATTGAATATGAAAATGCTGAAGAAGAGTATAGTAATGTAGATGATTGAAAAAATAATAATTAATATTAATATGTGTGTATGCATACACATATGTACATTATATGGATATATGTAATTATTATCAATTATATAACATTATAAACATTGAATAAAATTTTCTTCAAATGAATTATTAAAATTCAATTGGTTATTTTAAATTACAAAATATAATATTTGATTTATTTCTTTTTGTTAGATTCTTCTTTGGATTTATAACGAGCTTCACATATACCAACAAGACTTGCATCAGATCATAATTTGCGTAAAGTAGCATATGTGCTAACACCCTTTTCTTCTTTTATAATAGGACATGCTTTAGATTTATCCCATAATTGTTCAATAGGTGAAATAATTCCTTTCAGTTGAGTAGCATTTGTAACGGTTTGAACTTGCTATATTCAACAAATATTAAAATGATCAATTATGTTTATAATTATTACATTTCTCCAATATAACATAAATGGCAATTAATCAAAATTACCATAGTGCTAGCCTTCTTATTTGATGCATGAGTTTTCTTTGGGAAGGTGATAAGTTTGCTTTTATATGTTTTCAATTGTTGAACATTAAGTGAAAGAGATTCAGTTGATATGTTTTTATGTCTGACCTGTGGGAATTCCACAGCTTCTTTGCGATTAATTCCTGCTTCCTATTACATACATGCATTCAGCTTAATCAATAATTGGTTAATTGGTCATGCAATAATAATCCAATTAAAAAAAATTCAATCACTAACCTTGAGCTCATCAAGAGTAGCCTTCAACTTTGTATTATATCTGACAGTAAGACATCAGATAGCGGGTCTTAAAAGTTAAATGGGTTTTGGTGCGTCTAGGTTGATCAAAACCATGTTTTAACTCTTATTTGCCAATCCTTATGAAAATGAACATTGGAAGTTGATTGTTATGTTTCATTTTTCAATTTTCTGTTAAATATTAATGTTTAAAATTTTTTCTTCTCCATAGAACTCATTATTGTTATTCAACAATGTAAAAAATCACCAAGAATTGAAAAAAGATTCCTTACTTTTAATTATAAGCCAAAGGGATTCAAAACACAAAAATTTTTTTTAATGTCGAATTATATGCTTGGAGACTATATCTAAACTTTGATTTCCTTGTATTTATATTTATTTAATATGTCATCAACGCCACCTGTAAATAATTATTTTCTTCCAAAGAGCATGACGATTTATTTTGTTTTTAATATACTTATATGTGCATTATATTATTTTTCTATAATACATTTATAGGAGGAAGACGATGGATTAGGGAATCATCAAACCTTGGAGGCCGTAGTAGAGTTAGAGTTCGTGTTGAGGTCGGAGGTTATGCTGTGTGTGATGGTAGTAATAATGATGATAACAATAATAATGGTAATAATAGTACCAAGAGCTCTAAGGTCTTCAACAAGAACGACAATAACAGTAACAGCAACAAGATGGACAATTGATGAAAGAGTGGAGTTATTTAACTACGTATGCCCGCTGACTTGGATCGATCAAAACTTTGGTTTAAATTTTTCTAATTTCGCAAATATACCAATGTTTTAATTTTTCAAGTAAAAGACCTGTACGTGAATCCAACAAACGATTGTGTAGTTTAATTCATCACTACTAAGAACGTAATCTTTATTATAAGTAAATGTTGTTTAAGTGTTTCATTTAGAGTGAATAACTCATTCATTACCTTGTGAACAACATCTTCATATTTTAAAATCCCATAATTTGCAGTTGAATCAGAAAGTACATATTTTCTAGTGTTAGAGAATTTTACACTTGACACAGGCGCACATCATATACAACCTCCATTAATTGTATCCCATATTTTTATACTTTCATCAAATGATGATATGACAAATTGAGACCTATTGGAAGATAAAGTAAAGAAAAAAAAATCAACATAGTATATAAATATATAATATTTTAAAAAATTATTTATTTGCCATTGTAATCCCAAATACAATACATCATAGCAGGATAAAAGTCATAGAGTTTCTATTCGTAATACAAATTCTTATTTTTATTCGTTTATTCGAATTCATAATAATAACGAATTAAACAAATAATTCGAATAAACAATAATAATATAGTACCATCTGAAAAGTTTTTTCATCAACTGGGATTTACTTAAGTTCTTGGCCGGCTAACATCACTAATATTATTTATCACAACATAAAATTTGACCACAGTTTAAAAGTTTCGCCTACAGTTTAGGAGTTTCGCCCACAGTTTAGGCAATTTTAAGTTTCGTGAACCCAAATTCCTAATTTCATAAATATTTCGAAGTCATAAACATTTCAAATAGTCACAACGAATATTCGAATATCGATCAAATATCATTTTATTTTTGATCAGAACCTCTAAATATTTCTTTATTTATAAAAATAATGTAAGAAATAATAAATGCATAGAAAAATCAGATTTTTTTAATGCAAAATCAACCCATCATAAAGAGAATGGTTTTTTTTACATAATAAAAAACACGAACATATTCTTCAAGTTTTTTATTACCAACTTGTATCCACGGCATTATGATTATTGCCACTGCCACATCATTACTACTATCACCACCACTGCCACCACCACCATCATTACCATCATTATCACCTTTAGAGCTTTGTTCCGAATATTCAAACCTTGCTTGATGTACAGCCAAAGGTCTATCATTAATAAATAAATTTCTTTATTGTTAATTATTATTTCTCCAATTATTCGTGTTCATAATTATCAAACAATAAATTAACTACTACTATTATTATTATTATATTATTTTGAAATTTTGACCATGTAATTTTAAAATCCTAAAATTAATAAATAACTATAAATTAGTCCCTTATAATTAAAAGAAAAATTTTTCTAACACAACCTTCCAAGTGGTTGTAAGCGACTTTGTAGGGAACACTTTGGCACAACTGTTGCTGCTGAATTCGCTTTAGTCTGCATACTAATTGAGCGATAATCTTAAAACAAGTGTGAAGAAAAGAAACACTTCCGACCTGGCATAGAATAAATAACCAATATTTAAGCTAGCCTTTTCTTTTAACTGTTGTTAAAAGTCCCGGTCTGGCTCTAAAAATTTTATGGTTGAAAATCGCTTGTTACATGAAAAACGGAGATTTTTTTTTTTTGAACGATAATAATTTTATTTGTGTAACGTTTATATTGAATGACACTTGATCTGACTACTGTGACTGAATAAAAACGGACAAAAAACATATCAAATACAAATGAAAACTGAAAATCAGAGGTTTCTGACACAATCAGTGATCTAACATGGTATATTTATATCAACAGTATTTCTGGGCAGTATTAAAGCATCAAATTAAAAATGGATTCACCACCTAATTTGTCAAGCCATTTATTTTAATAGGACGATTCCTGTTCACAGTTATCTCGAGAGTGTATATATCAGGAGTAACAATTGCATCAATGGATGTAAGATTGGTTGACAGTACTCTGTGTAAAGTTCAACATGTCAGTCACTGAAAGAGATCCGAGACACAGTGGAGTGTAAATATATGGGATCTCTTTTATTTCGACTAAAGATAAAAGATCAATGCAGCTAAAAAAGCTTGCTTCATACATACATTACGACCAAAGGAACAAATATTTTACGAAATCAATAACAAAACTGTTAAAAAGAATTATATTATTTTTCAAAAAAAATATTTATCACAATTAATAAATTATTATAAAATTAACTTTAAAATAAATTAAAACAAATTAATCAAGTGATTTAATTTTCTTGTAATAATACTTGATCAAGGTATCCCAGCAAATTTCTAATACCAAATAAGCAGCCTTCATCTTTACCAACATTTTTTCTGAAATAAGAATGTGCAAAATCAATAATTTTTAAATCAGTAACTTTCAGTCTCTCTTCCTCCTCCTCTTCCTGATCATCATCATCATCTTCATCATCATCTTCATCTTCTTCATCTTCATCTTCTTCTTCTTCTTCTTCTTTGCCTTCATTGCCATTACCATCAATATATTTTGATGATATTTTTTCAAGATTTTCTTTTTCTTTACTCAAGGCCTCTTCTAAAGCATCAGGGTCACCTTCATATACCAAAAATAATGATGCACCATGCAATCTCAATTCTGTATTTTCTAGTGCTTTATAAAGTTCTTCAAGATCTCTAATTATTGTTTTAATAATCAAACTTCGTTTATCCTTTGATATTTCTGCTCTAAAATAATCCCTTAATCCTAATATTATGCCATCTTCATCTTTTAAAGTATACCCATATTCACGTGAATAATCTTTATAATTATCAATAGATTTTTGATAAACCTTTTTTTTTTTTTTCAAATAAATAAGAGATAATCAGAAAATAAATTAGAAAAAAAGAGGTCGAGTACAATTCAAGGAATATATATTATTACCTTAAATGCTGTAATTTTTATTCCTAACGAAGCTGATGTAGTCATTAAAGCTCTTTTAATCATTTTTTGCTTTTTTTCTTCGCTAGCATCTTCACCCCATAGTTGAGTACCTAGTTTAAGATCTATGAAACACGGTTTTTTAAAACCATATAAAATATTCTCTAAACATATTGCATGTGTTTATAATTAAAGATAATAAATAATAATATTGGTTAGCATTAATACATTTCCTAAATATATATATTATTTTATTTTCAAAAGGATATTTTCAACTCCTGTAACATTTGCACTTTGTTTTTCGATTTCTTGTCTAATTATCAAAGAATCAACTACCCTAATACCATCGCCGTTATCATTATTATTATCGTTAATATTATCAACTAGATTTATTAATGAATTGTTATTGTGGTTAACACCTTGTAATTGTAAACTTCCATAAAATTTAGGTATCCATATAGAAAATTCTGGATATAATACACTGGTTTCGTAAAATTCTTTTTCAAGTGTATTACAAGGTTTAACAATTACTGCTTCATCATTTGTTAATAATAATTTATCATGACCTCCAATTTGATGTTCAAATTTTTGTAGCATCATTCATTCATATGGGAAGGTGGATTTGTTTAATATTAATAATTAATATTTATTTTAAAATGATCCACATTTAGTAATTAAAATGTGTGTTTTTAAAGTTTTGCGATAATAATTTCGTGCCACTCCAGTTAACTAAAAAAACTACAACGATAGGAGATCATAATTATTGAATCAATTTTATTCAAGATATGATTTATTATGTAAACCAACACCAATTTTCCTAATTATCATGGTCATAAATTAATAATGTTTTAAATGAATTACTTGGAACTTTAAAATTGATAGGAAATTGTACTGATTGTAATAAAAAAATAATGCAAGTTAAGGTTCCCGATATTATTATTGATTTATTGAATAAATCAGTTGATACATTAAAAAAAAACTTTCAGATAGATTAGAAGAAAGGAATGAAATAATAAAGTAAACAATTAATTGAAAATTCATATATAAATATTTAATTCATACAGATGTTAAATTGAATATAGTTGTATTATGCAATTGTTGTAAAGAAAAGGTAATTGAAAACTTGGTTTATTTATAAATGTAAAATGAATAGATCTTATGATAGTTTACCAATTGAGTCTTCTTTTACGAAAATATAGTACTAATTGAATATCCTTTGGTTGAATCGTGATGCGATTATCGAGCTTGACATCTTCAAAAAAGTCAACTAAAAACTCTTCCGAAATCTATTTAAGTATTAATAATAACTAGTATTTATTGGTATAGATTTCTTAAAAAAAAAAAACAATGATATATATGTATGTATAAATACACTTTTTTTTTAGAAACTTGGCAGCGGACGAGCGAAGGATTGTTCCTTTAATAAAAGAATAAGAGAATTAATTTAATAACTAAATATACTTTTTTTACTCCAGCAACTTTCAAACTTCTTTTCATATCTTTACTGTATTTTTTTGTTAATAATAATGAAATAAATTTTATAAAAAGAATGAGTTTCAAATCCATTATTTACCTTCAACCGATGGATCATTATCAACAGTAGAAAGACGGTAAATTATTATAATATTCAAATGGTGATTCATCGTCTCGTGATTCAACGTGATTAGCAAGTAAATCATTAGTGATATTGATATTGTGAGAGATAGTAAATCTTGGACCATTCTTTTTTTAGAGCAACAATTACCCCCATCGCTCTTCAAAGCAATTAAGAGTTGCTTGAAGTTAAACATGGTAATCTCAGATTATATTACAATGTTAGAAATCAATGACAGTATTTAAATTAGTTTTAAATAAATGCACTAAAATAATTCCTTGTGTCCTTCCTACTGTAAAGCTAATTCCTGCTACACCGGTACAAACTAGATTATTGTTCTTATTACGATAGATGTTGCGATGCAGTTACAGTTATCCAAGAAACAGAAACTTGATTTAATAGCAACTGTGGTTATGCTCTGCTGGTTCGGATCATCTTTATTATGTATATCTGATAATAATAGTTTATGAACTAGCATAGCACTCGTTATGACAGCCCAAGTGAAGCGAGTAGTAAAGCTAAAGAGTTAAAAAGATAATTACAAATTGATGGCTTTTACTCTACGCAAATATTGAATATAGCTAACTAATTCTTATGAAACATAACCACTAGTCCTTATGTAATTGAAAAACATTCGCCATATCATTCTGAATTTTTTTAGTTCCAGAGCGCTAGCTCAAGCTGAGTTGTATCTAAAATCACTTGATACTGTGCGAGTAAAAAAATACCACCATGTTAGTTTTTATCTAGGAAATAAAGATGGTGATAGTAATGGTGGTGATATTATAACTTGAAAAAGAGATGGTTGTTATGATACCTTTTAAACATTATAAAAATAATTAAACAAATTGCTTGGGCTACCGATGGCACTCCTTATCGACGGGGAAATTATAACAGAAATTATGAACATCTAGTCAATATGCTAGTTTATGGTATTAATTATTCAAAACAGATTTATGATAATGGAACCAAGCTTGAGCGAGTCATTCATTAGAAGGTGGTAAAACCAAAAAACGAGTTTCCATGCCGCTGCTCCTCTTACTTTTGGTCTTTCGTTATCAGCAGCTAATGGTCGTCCAATGTTAAATGATGGCAAAGGCTCCACCATTGAATTAACCGATGATAATTAATTCAGTGTCGGATGTATGTGAGAATCGTCTTCATTAACAAAAAATCATGGCAGTTTTTCTTCTTTTTTAAATAAAAGACAATTTATTATGTTTAGCTCAAACGATTTACCGAAAACTAAGGCAAGTATACCTATCACCACCCCTGACACTTCTGATATGAATCTCTCCTCATTCAAGAAGAAGTTATTAACAGAGAATCGTAGAGCTGTAGATAAGAGAGGCAAGCATCATATTTTATTCTCGGACCACATTGTCCACTATGCAGAGAAAATCACATGGGTTTGCGATGATATCTAAGATCCAGGGATTCCACTCGATAAGTTATATTCCGAAAACGAAAATTTCCAGATAAAAGCGTGCATAAAAAAATGGTCGTGAATGGAATGTCTATTGATCGAAGGTCCATAATAATACATCAAGTATAATAAAGAATTTGTTTGTTTGCTCATATTTCGGGCTTTATGCTTTAACCATATGCACGTGGCATTGGAAAATTTTGTGGACAGCGTGGAATCAAGATAATGGCATGAGTTATGTTTAGTTTGCAATAAAGAGCATTGGAATTATGTAATGCGTGGTGAATGTTATAAAATAAATATTATCCAAGTCAAGCAATAAATTCAAGTTCGCCATTCATATAACTGATTTCCTTCCTCCCGATTGACAGATGATTATAAAATAGACAGAGATCACCACATAACTTTTCATTGATTTTTTCAGCGGGCATCAAGATGTTAGATATCAAGTAAAATTGTTATCTGAGTAGCAGAAACATATTCCAAGGCCTTTATTCTTCGATGTTTTAAACCATGTGATTCAGTCAAACCTCGCCACAGCGGATTTCTTGTTACAACGGATTTAAATATTAGTAATCGAACGACATTTCACAGTCACCAATTTTAATACATGATCGACATGACACGTTTTTCATTCATGCACAAAAGAACCAATAACCGATGTTGATATTATTATCAAATGTTTCCTTATTGATCTTCAAAATAATATTTTTTTATTCAACAAGTGAAGATGAACATGAATTGTTCTCACATTTGTCATCAAAATAAATCATCTATTATCTTGGTAGTCAAGTTACAATTAGTGTGAATAGGATGAATAATACAAATATGATTACTTTACACTCAACTGAATTTAAAATTTATAAAATTCTAACAGATGAAAAGATTTTATTGTCTATTCTGCATTGTCTAAATGTTTAAAAAAATGTCATAGGGAATTTCATAGGTAAAATTACATATTTATGAACAAGCCTTTCGGGGGTAAACATGCTCATTCTCACTAATACTAATTGAATGCCTATGACCTTTAATATGATTGTTCGGGGTTCTATTGGATTTAGATTTAGATTCGCTAACAAACTAATTCGTTAATAATAATAGCCAAATTCATTCATCTTGTATTTATTTTTAATTGTTTCACAATGCTTAAAAAGGATTATAATATAATAACGATAATGATAATAACAATTTATCTTCATATTAATATTATTATTTATCATTTGCGAAAAACGTTATATAATAAATTCAAAAAACATTTCTCGGAAATTCAGAGAAAATTTCACAAAAAAATGTTTAAAAGCGTCAAAACAAAAATTATTGCAAGATGGGCTTTTAATACAAAAAATTGGATTCCTACAACTAAAGAATACGATCAATTGTTATCACTTGTACAAACTAATGAACAAGAGAAAATCAAAAAAATTAAAGTTTCAGAAAATTTAAAGTCTTCGTTAATTGGGAGATTGTTGATGATATTATTATTTAACAGAATTTATGGAATTGATTATAGAGAAGTTGAATTTGATAGAACAGAATATAATAAACCTATTTTGGTAAAATGATTTTTGAAATTCTTTCTAAAATAATAAATAGTGATTTTTTTTTCTTCCTAAAACAATTATTTTCCAAAAACAAACAATTTTATTTAATCAAGATTAATCCGAAATTAAATATTTTGTGTGATTTTAATATTTCACATCATGGTGATTGGGTTGTGTTAGTTGCTGGAGAAAATTGTCGAATTGGTATTGATTTAATGAAGATCGAACAACCTAATGCTGGTTATAATGTTAAAAAATTTATTACCACATTTAAAGATCAGGTAAAAATTTTACAATTTATTTTTGATTTTGTTTTATTTTCAAAAAAATAAGCAATATTAATAATAAAATGGTTTTTCAAAGTTTACAGAAAATGAATTTAATCTATTGATAAATAATAATCAGCAACAACACTACAACAAAGAGGAAGTGGAAATTCGCCAATTGCAAAGATTTTATAGATTTTGGTGCCTGAAAGAAAGTTATGTTAAAGCTGTTGGAATTGGATTATATTTAGCTTTGAATTCATTTGAATTCAGATTGGATGAAAATGAAGAAAATCTCAAAATTAAAAAGGTAAATATTATTTATTATATAATTAATTTGTAGAATTATGATAATAATATGATCTAATTCGTGATTATGATATCATTGATTATTTAGAATACAAAACTTTATGTAAATAATGAATTGAAGGTTGAGTGGGGATTTGAAGAGCATTGTTTAGATGAAGAACATTGTGTGTGCATAGCATATGATACTAATTACAATGGTAATAATGGTGATGATAGAAAAGAAACAGTTAATGAAGGTTTTGAAATAATTGAAATTCAAGAAATTTTTAATTTAACTGGTACTAAAAATAAGTTATTTACACGGAAATACAACATATACAGAATATTGCTAATAATTTATTTTAATTTATTAATTAAAATGTTTAGAATAATAATTGAGAAAAAGAACATGAGAGAAGGGATTCGTCGAAAAAGCGGCAATAAATTAAAATATTGCCAGATCGGGATTTATTAACGTTACACGGCTTATAGTTTTTAGTTAAACGGTGGATTTTTATATTAATATTATTAAATTACGATAGATGAACGAAAAAGAAAATAATAATATATAAATAAAATTAATTTTAAAAAGAAAAAACCAAAAATGCTGCTGCCAAATAAAATTTCTTTAGTTTTATTGTGCACGACCACTTTATTTGGATTCATTATAAATAATTTCGATAATAACAGTCGAGTAGAAGCTACTTATGCTTGTGACGCTTCTCCATGTAAAGTTCCTGATTGCTTCTGCGTCTCACAGAATCCTCCCGGCGGCCTAACGCTGGATAAAACACCACAATTTGTGCTTTTAACTTTTGGTAAAAAACTTTTTTAGTCACAATGTTCATTTAAATAATAATCATTGTCGATTTTTAGATGATTCAATTCAAGACCGAAGTGTGAAAGGTAGATATTTTGAAAATATCGTTAAATTTACGCGCTCTTTTATTAATTGAAAATTTAAAGAAATCTCTTAACTTTTAAAAAAAATTAAAGTTGCATATGATCTTATTGGAGATAGAAAAAACCTAAATGGGTCATTATAATTATTTAACGAAATTTTTTTTTATTTTGTCTATTAATCTACATTAATTGTTGTCTATATATATATATATCATTAAGACAACATTTTACGTGAGTATATATAAATTATACTGATTTTCCTTTAGTATCAGAACGGTATTAGTATGCAAAAGGACATGAAGTGGCTGATCATACAATGAATGACTCACAACGGAAAACCACCAGATCCACAAAGTAAGTTTTTAATAATCACCACTTCCTAATTAATAATATATTTACGAATTCATTAATTTTTTTTAACAATAAAAAAAATCAGAGGAAGTAATTGGATGTAAAAAAGCATCGAATGCGTTTGCTGGCATACCAAATGACAAAATTAGTGGATTCCGTAACCCTTTTCTTGATTGGACACCAAAAGGGTTTGACGTTTTAGCAACAAATGGATTCACCTATGTCACATCAACTACTTTATTGGCCGCAGATGATACTTGGCCTTACACATTAGATTATGGTTTATATAATGACTGTGATAAAACATTCCGGATTATTTGAAATTCCCATGTCTAGTCTTATCGGTAATTATACAGGAAGCGGTCAGTTTTGTTTGCTTGTTAATGATTGAAAATTTACAAAATTAAAAAAAAATTCATTTAATAGATGAGAAAAGTATTCCACATTTGATGGATCCAATGCTTGATGGCACACCGGATCAAGTAATGACTCGGTTGAAAGATAACTTTAATCGTCATACAAAACAAGGAAGTATTCCATTTGGTAATTATAATAATAAATTAAACAGATAAATATTATTATTCATATTTACCAAATACTGTAATGTTTGTTTGTTTATTATATAGGTGTTTACCTACACCCAGTTCAATTATCCGAAATCCCCGGAAGACCAAGCCCTGAACCATCTATCAAAATGCTTAAAGAATTTTTCGATTGGGCATTAACTCAACCAAATGTCTGGTTTGTTACCAATCAACAATTACTTCAATGGATGAAAAATCCAATGCCAACTAAGACTATGAGCCATTCAAATGTCAAACACCAAATGTAGGAAAAGCAATATGTAACGGATTAGATGATGATAAAAATGGTCAGGTGGATGAAGGATTAAAGGAATCTTGTAATTTTGATATTGCTGTTTGGAGTCACATGTTACGGGTGTCCTAAGGTTCAACCAACCCTGGATAATCCTGTGCCTGAATCAACAAATCCCAAACGTTATCGTGTATCAACTACGTGTGATACGGTGGGATCCTGTTGAAAACAAATATTGTGTAATACACCAGAATGTAGTTACACTGATCAAAGCAAGCTTCCTAATGATGTTAACTCTAATGCTAGTAGCAATAATAATACCGCCGCCACCACACCTAGTGCTACACCTTCTAACAATAGTACAAGTGATTCTACAATTATAATTACAAATTAAAATCCAATCCTAATACAAATTCGTAAACTTCGATTAAAGGATTAGACAAACTTGTATTCCATAGTTTCATTGTCATATCATATAACACACTTCCAATGATATTACCATCATGTGGTGAACACTTACAGCATACTCATGACCCATCAAACACATAACCTCTCTATTAGGAAATCTTAGATCCCATATCTTGATGATTTTGTCAACTGAACCTGTCACAAATTGATTTTCTTGATATTTGTTCCAGTCCAATGAAAGTATTTCATACAAGTGTCCATGAATTGTTTGAACAGATTTTGTTGGAACTTTTGTATCCCATATTTTCATTAACTGATCCCCAGATACTGAACCAAATACATCAGGATTATATGGTGACCATATTGTACTATATACACAGTTTGTATGTTCATTATATGTTAATATTGATTGTCTTAATTCAGGCCTCCACTAATCAATAAATCAAATAAATTAGAGGAAAAAGTTTTAATTCTATATAGTAATGAAATCTGAAATTGAAATTGAAATCGAAATTAATCTAATTTGAAATTCTAATAGTAATTCAAAGTCTAATTTTAAAATAAAAATCATTCAATCCTTTTGATTATTGGTTTTTTTTCTTTTGATATTGATATTAGACAATCTCCTTGTTCCAAGGATTGAAAGTTGTCAAAGAAGCTGTTTCATCCAAAAATTATGATATTTATTATGTAAAATAAAATTGGACCTTGTTTTGTTCCATTATCATTACAACATATACAGGCGGAATCATATTCTCCAGGATATCTTTCTATACCTTTAAAATGTATCCAAATAATGCCAGGAAGTCTTCAGGCACTCTTAGAATTTTGACTTCGAGAACCAAAATTGCTTGACACAATTTAAAGGCAGCATTTTTTTTTAATTTAGAATTTCAATTTTAATTTCGATTTTTGATTTCGATTTGGGGCTTGCTAGAATCAAAAATGTCGGGACGTGATTATCGAAATTGAAATAAACACATGTATGTTTGTTTATTTTATTTTTTATTTAACCAAGATATATTACATAGCAATCTTATTGAGGGGAGTAGGTTTGTGTGCTATTTAAAATTCTTTTATGCTAATTCAGGCTTCATTTATATAGGTAGCATTTTACAAATAAGTTATGTATAAAATAACAATCATTTGTAATAAAATTTTGATTATTGAAAAAAACTATCTGGTTAAAGGTCGCGTAAACAATCTTCCGGATCGGATCGCCCAACCATCTAAATAGTATTAGAGTATCATAATGTTTTGGTGATCACGTAACAACAAAATTTTCGGATAAGGATCACAATTAATGGTCGCGTAACAACTCCTTTCGATATGGTTTTTGATATATATACATATATAGTCAATTTTTTTCTGATTGCGTAACAACTTTCTCCAGATCATTTGACCACAATAAAATAATTCTTCATATGCTTCTATTTCCTATAAATCCACGTGAACAAATTGATAATTAAAATACAAAGTATCTTTAATCGATTAGAATAAATTATTGCATTTTTATAAATATTTCTATTCTTGAAAAATTTATTCTAATCTTAGATTTCTTAATGTTAAACTAGTCTTTGCGAGTCTCTTTAAAACTCATTAATCAACGCAATAACCATGATTAGTGTTTCACAGAGATAATCAACACAATAATGGTAAATTGGACGAAAACCTTACACACACGTTGCACTACATTTTTTTATTTGATAGAATAAATCTCAAAGATTATAACTTTTAACTTTTATGTTTAGGCATCGCCAGATTCCAAGGATTTTACATATAAAATCGAAATATGGAAAAATTTTATTACACAGAATATGGGATTTTATTACAAATAAAATTTTCCGTCATTATCTTTTTTTGATCCATTTTTGGCAGAATAATATAAAATCATTTTTATTATTATTATGATGATAATCGAGATGAGATTATTATTAATATTAATAATTAATTAGAATTAATATTACCATTTATAATGTTTTTTTACGCCTATAAAACATTATTACTATTGTGTTATTTGTTATGGTGGTACTAATAAAAAAAATAATATAATATATATATGATAAATGTTAATTTTCTGATACAAAAAAAAATTATAAATTATTAAATAATCAAATAATATCGTTATGTCTGCAATTCTTCATAAAAATCATGGTAAAAACGCACCCACCAATTATGGAGCTACTAGTAATGGTGGTGAGGGAGGAGGCTCCAATAATGTGGAAGATGATAACGTAGTTCATATTGATCCAAATGGATGGAAATTCATCAAATACAAGTTCCGTGAACCTTTCGCCGAATTCATTGGTACATTTACTTTGGTCGCTTTTGGTATTGGCAGTATCGCTCAAACAGTTCTCAGTAAAGGAGATAATGGTAATTGGTTGTCAATTTCCTTTGGTTTTGGATTAGGCTTAGCTTTGGCTATTGTTATCTCTGGAAGCGTATCTGTAAATGTTTATGTCTATTATTATCAATTTATTACTATTAAAAGGAAAAAAATCAACTAAATAATTAATTAATCCATTTTTTAAAGGGTGGTCACTTAAACCCAGCAGTCACAATAACTTTGGCAGTTTATCGTAAATTTCCTTGGTTGAAAGTTCCTGTGTATATTTTGGCTCAAACGTCTGGAGCATTTGTTGCTGCGGCAGTCATTTACATAAATTATCATCCAGCAATTACAAATTATGATGGTGGCGAACGCTCAGTCACCGGAGTAAACGCTACTGCAGGAATTTTTGCTACATATCCTGCTCAGTTTATGGGAACTTTTGGATCATTCTTTTCAGAAGCGCTTGGCACATTCTTTTTGCTTCTAGTTATATTGGCGGTAACCGATGAAAGAAATGAATTAAATATCAAACCAGTTGCACCTATTATAATCGGTCTAGCTCTTGCCACAATTGCACTTTCCCTAGGTTACGAAACCGGATTTAGTTTGAATGGTGCTCGTGATTTCGGGCCAAGATTGTTTACATTCTTGGTTGGTTATGGTATAGAAGTTTTTTCTACAAGTTGTTTTTACTTTTGGATTCCAATTGTGGCCCCAGTTGTTGGTGGTTTAATTGCTGGGCTTGTATATGATTCCATGATTTACTGGGGAAAATCTCCTTTAAATTAATTTAAAAATTTAATCATTGACTATTTGTAAATTATTTTTACCGTTAATCATTATTTTTTACATGTATCATACACATTTATATATATAATTTTTCATTATCATGTAAAAAAAAAAGGTTTTTAATTCGTGATTCGCGAATGGTATATATTATTTCGTGTTAATAAAATACAAAATTCTTGCAAAAATTAAAAGAATTCAATGACAAAACATACACACACGTGTAATTGTAAGAAGGAAAAACCGAAAATCTCACATTTCACCAAAGTAAATTATTTAAATGAAATCCTTTGCTTTTTTTGATAATGGGCATGTTTTTCGCATTTTTAAAAAAGAAAAAAAAAAGAAGTTTGTGATTTGATCAATGTGTACACATCAATTATTTATCCTATTGGTTTTTTTTTTTTGGGAGGACAGACACGAATCGATAGAGTCTAAGGTGACAAAATGTGAGTGTTGTTTCTTGGCTTGGCTTGGGTCCCTAAAGATCCTAAAGAGCGCATGTTAATAACTAACCAGAGGTACTTTTTTATTTGCATTGATATAATGTGGTGTCTTTTATTTTATATAAATATTTTAATTGGAATCAAAATGCAGAGCAGATCTTGCTGGGTAATTATAAGATCCTTATCAAGATGATGAACAATTGGTACTTTGCTTTTCGTAATTAATATTATTATTAATGTTGCTATAATTAATTACAAGATGATGTCAAAGCAGCACAACATTGTGGAAGAAACATTTCGATATGCTACATTTTATTATCAGAAATTGGCAGACATTGAAGCATGCACACTACCTTGAACATTACAGTCATTCTCACACATTCCTCATGTACACAAGGCTAATCTGACCAAGATTCCCCCGATGATACAATGATGATGTTAAATTCCAGGGGAGGGGGTATGGCTCACAGCACCCGACAAGAGAAAGCTGCAGACATGATAGCCGAAAATTTGCCTGCAACAATACACCTCTAGGGCAAGGATGGCTCTGTATCACAGCTCTGGAGGAATATTAAGAGAATATGCAACTTGTCCAAGCACAGAAGGTTACAATTCAGAGCAGGGTTGTGACCCTGAAATTGCATTTGGACTCTGATATTAAGAGGAAAGTTGTATAATAGCGTTTGTTTTGTATAATCATTTTCCTAAATGCTCTGTTTCTCTGATACTAACCAATTTATAATTTTGGGTAGGGGACTGGATGGGTTTTTGCCCAGATTAAAATTATTGCATGATTATATATATCTTTGTCAGTAATATGACCAACAAGAAAAAAGTTATAAAATGGCTCAGATTTTGTTTGGTATGTTATAAATTAATCATTTTCATAAATTTTCTGTTTCTCTTTAATTTTATTTGATCAACTGAATTTGTTGTTTTTTAAATTGGGGTAGGGTTATTGGCAAGTAGGCATGCCACCAACAAGACAGAACTCAGGACTCAAAACTTTGAATTCAGGGAAAATCCAAAACAGCAACCCAGGTGCAAACTTTATTTTAGAGAGAGGTGATAACACAAAGTAATCATCACACAAGTACAAGCACCAACTATCAGCAATCAATGCCCATATGATAACAGCCAAGCTTAGTCTGAGGGGAAGATAAGGAAAAGGGGTCTGATTCATTTCGTCGACAATCATTTCGTCGACACCCATTTCATCAAATATTCATTTCGTCGAAAGTTTGTTTCATCGAATGTTCATTTCGTCGAATGTTCATTTCGTCGAAAATTATTTCGTCACAAAAAAAAAACAAATTTCTCCTCACACTTTCCACACACTCCACTTTCCTCACCTAATTGTTTAACTAACCTCACACCTAACTCGTTCGGTCTCTGGCTCGAGGATGAAATAAATTTCGACGAAATGAACATTTGATGAAACAAACTTTCGACGAAATGGGTGTCGACGAAATGATTGTCGACGAAATAATTTTCGACGAAGTAAACGCGACCGGAATTGAACAACGCGCCGAATCACGTGCGCTTAACTTCCTGATGATATATAGCAAAAATCAGAAAACACGAAAATTTTGCATGCATATTCTACAGGACCTAGGCTACAAGCTATATATACTTATTATGAGTGTTTTTGCATTGTTGATTCTCTGAAAGTTGCTGTAGTGTACATTTGTTCTAATAAAATCTATCTGAATCTACTAAAACAAATTATTTATCAAAAAAGAAATAAAGAAACTTTAAAGTATATAAATATGGATGTATCAAAAAAAATTTTGCAACATTAAAAATCATTAAACTTTATACATTTAAAATAAATATTTTGAATAAATTCTTTAAAAACAACACTGTTTAAATTGACTACTGCTTGTGTGATCAATCCAATCATTAACATCAAAGGAACAAAATCAATCATTTCGCAATAAAAGCTATTTGTTTTTTTAATATTAATGCATGGTTTCTATTCATAATACATTTTGTTTGTTTTATTTGCTTTTATTTGCTTTATTTGCTTTATTTGCTTTATTCGCTTTATTCACTTTATTCGTTTTATTGGCTTTATTTGCTTTATTAGTTTTATTTGCTTTATTTGTTTTATTCGTTTTATTCGCTTTTATTCTTTAATTCAAATTACTATTATTCGAATTATTTTTTACTCAATTGTGTTTTATTCGAGTAAACCTTATTTTTGAATAGAAACCTAACTATTGCTCAAGATTATGGTATTAATTTAGCACAAAGAGCTTTAGAAATATTTAACCAATAACTTAATTACAATATAAAAAAGAGTTATTGGTTTATTAAACTAAGCCAATAATTAACTAAAAAAAAGGATTAATTTTAGAAGGATATCTGATAAATATCAGCACTTTCAATATTTACTAATAGGCTTTTAGACTATATGATAAAAATACTAAGAATATTATTATCTAAATTATTTTTTTAAAGAATAATCAGATTATGATATTTACTGATACCCCATTGCCCAATTTAGCATCATTCAACCAGTATAAAGAGAACCAATAAATTATATACAAGCAAAGAAAGATGGGACCCTAAATTAGCACAAAAGAATTTTAAATCATAACAGCTTGATAGCTTGATTGACATAGTGATGCATGCAGTCTTGGATTCAATGCAAATTTTTTATTGTATATTTTAAATATAATTAATTATATATCTTTAATAAAACAAACATGACTTAATTATTTAATCATTTCCTTGTATGTGAATGCCTCCATCCATCAAATATTCATGATGGTCATGATTATTATTCAATACAT